TGGTGATGGTGACAGCATTGGTGATGGTGGTGGTGATGGTGGTGGTGATGATGATGGTGTTGGTGACAGTGGTGATGGTGATGGTGGTGGCATTGTGACAGTGATGACAGTGGTGATGGTGATGTGGTGGTGACGGTGATGACAGTGTAATGGTGATGATGTAGTGGTGACGGTGATGATGGTGGTGACATTGGTGATGGTGATGGTGGTGGTGGCATTGTGACAGTGATGACAGTGGTGGTGGTGGCATGGTGACAGTGATGACAGTGGTGACAGTGATGACAGTGTAATGGTGATGATGTAGTGGTGACGGTGATGATGGTGGTGACATTGGTGATGGTGATGGTGGTGGTGGCACGGTGACAGTGATGACAGTGGTGATGGTGGCATTGGTGATAGTGGCAGTGTTGGTGAGGTGGCATTGGTGATAGTGATGATGGTGACTGATGACAGTGATGATGGTGGTAATGATGGTGATGGTGGTGGCATTGTGACAGTGATGATAGTGTTGGTGATGGTGGTGACAGTGGTGATGGTGACAGCATTGGTGATGGTGGTGGTGATGGTGATGGTGATGATGATGGTGTTGGTGACAGTGGTGATGGTGATGGTGGTGGCATTGTGACAGTGATGACAGTGGTGATGGTGATGTGGTGACAGTGATGACAGTGGTGACAGTGATGACAGTGTAGTGGTGATGATGTGGTGACGGTGATGATGGTGATGGTGATGGTGATGGTGGTGGCATGGTGACAGTGATGACAGTGGTGACAGTGATGACAGTGTAATGGTGATGATGTGGTGACAGTGATGATGATGGTGGTGGTGGCATTGTGACAGTGATGACAGTGGCATTGTTGGTGACTGGTGATGGTCCCCTGGTGACTAATCCTTCTATAACATGTCTGGTTTTCCAGGGACATTTATTAATTAGCCCATTGAATGCCCACATCTCCCCCTGAGGTGTTTCCTCTTCTGATCCCCTCTCTTCAGCATGTACAGGCAGCCAGACAGCACTCAGTGTCCAGTCTGGCTGCCAGGCCCTGGCACCTGCCTCTGCTGGCCTCTTCCGATCGTGGGTGCTAACATGCCCTGTCCCCCCACCCCCCTGGACTTGTGATCATTGTGAGGAGGGCAGGTCCAGCCGTGGCCCTGTGGCCAGAGCAGGTGCAGCCGTGACCCTATGACCAGAGCAGGTCCAGCCGTGACCCTGTGACCAGAGCAGGTCCAGTCGTGACTCTCTGACCAGTCGCAGGTCCAGCTGTGACCCTGTGCCCAGTGTCCATGGTTCACTGTCATCGAGTTGGCCCGACTCATGCTGACCTCCTGCAGGGCGTTACAGGCTGCTGGCCCTGCAGCAGTCCCCGATGGGCGGCCGATCAGACCCCTCTGACCCACGGGGTTCTCACTGGCCCTTCCTTCGAGCTCCTCTCGGTCTGGACACTCCACTGAAACCCGTCAGCATCCCAGCCCCCAATGGGCAGGGGCTGCACAGGACGTGCGCCGGCCGGGGCTCAAACCGAGCCTCCCCCGTAGAAGGCGAGATTTCTACACTGAAGCACCACTCTCTCATCGCAGCGTCCATCATCTTGTTAAAAATGAATTCTCATTTTCTGGGAACATAGTATGTAGAAAAGCAACACTTTTCTTTTGTTGAAATCAAGTTAAATTTACTTAGGAAATAGGAGCTATGGGCATTAGGAGCATCAGCATTCAGCCCCACCTGTATTGAACTGTCAACAGATAGGGAGCCAGGAGGAGTGTTTGTAACCAGCCACCTGTCCCCACGTGTGGCCGCCTCCGAGCCCCTTGTCTGTGGGTCTCCTCTCCTTGTCCCACTTTGTCAGAAGGCACAGTTCTTGTAACAGATTGGACAGGGAAGAAATGGATGTTTTGACCCTACTGTCCTTTGTCCAAGAGCTGGAGTTGCCCGTCGTCGCTGCACACGGTGGGAGAGGTTGCAGGGAAACGTTCCTTGGGGTGCGGCTCCCGGAACCTTCTCTCTGGGCTCACTCACTCCTGGCTCCTCCTGTCCGGTTTAGTGTAGATGGGTCGGCGGCAGACAGACGGCTCTCCATGCTGGATGTGAGCTCCGGCCTCATGGAAGCTCACCCCAGGGCGCTCCCAGGGCTTAGACGGCTCCTCTCTGCTCCCCACAGGCAGAAGGTAGTGGAGGGCAGCCTGACGCACCCCTTTGCCCTGACTCTCTCTGGGGACACGCTGTACTGGACGGACTGGCAGACCCGCTCCATCCACGCCTGCAACAAGAGGACTGGCGAGAAGAGGAGGGAGATCCTGAGTGCCCTCTATTCGCCCATGGACATCCAAGTGCTCAGCCAGGAGCGGCAGCCGCATTGTGAGTGCGTGAGCACCGCGGGCACGTGGCGGCCACTCAGCACACAGCCCCTCCAACGCCCTGAACCCTGGGTGCAGGACGGGGGCGTGCGACCCACCTCAGAGCTGGGCGGGAGAGAAAAGGGGTGCTTGCTGGAATAGGGGTGGAGAGGCCCCTCTGCAGAGCTGGTGTGGGGCTGCTTCCGGGCAGGGCCCTTGCCAGCCGTCCTCAGAGCTGGTGACGGGATTCCCAAGGAAGGCTTCCCGTTTTCAAGGCCCAATGGTAATGGTCTATTTATGAATGAAAAGGTCTGCCCTATATCAGTGGACTTGGGCCTGGAGTTCCCATAGGATCAGGGAGGGTCACTGATGGAGAAGGACGTGAAACACATGGGGTCAAGGGCTTCTGTGACAGGTGACTGGTGGGGCCGAGGCCTTGGGCTCATTGCCTGCATGGGGCCAGGAGCAGGAGCTTCTGGCCAAGCCATTGTAGAGAGGGCTTCAACTGTGAACTTAAAACTGGGGACCCATGAGGAGCACTGTTCTCAGTGCAGGGCAGAGGAGACAGTGCTGTGGTTACCAGGCTGTCCTGCGCACCTGGGCTGTCCACGTGCTTCAGCCAGCGTGGAGAGACTTGCCACCCATCAGACTCCAGGGTTCATGTCCGTGACCTGGTTGGGTTAAATATCGTGTATTTCCAGGCTCATAAAATCTCATCCTGGTGGCGCAGTGCCTAAGGCACTTGACTACTAACCAGAAGGCTGGTTAGTAGTCTACAAACCCACCAGCCACTCCTCGGAAGTAGGGTTGGGCAATCTACTTCCGTAGTGATACCGCCTCGGAAACCCAAGGAGGGGTTGCTATGAGTTGGGTCCGACTCGATGGCTGTGAGTTTTTTTTTTTTTTTTTTTTTCAGTAAGCCTCACCCTTGAGTAGTGCAGATGGTTAGTGTGCTTGACTGCTAACCAACAGGTTGGAGGTTCAAGTCTACCCAGAACTTGGAAGAAAGGCCTGGAAATCTACTTGTGAAAAGCAAGCCATTGAAGGTGCCAGGGGATGCAGTTCTACTTAGATACACATCGGTTGCCAAAGTGACTCCCTGGCAACTGGCTTATTTATTTGTTTTTTTTTAACGTTGCCCTTGCCCTGGGTGGTGCCAGAAGCTGTGGTGGAAGACCTTAGGAAGATGCCACAGAGATGAGACAGGTCTATTGCTCCAGGGCCCCAGTCTTGAGGTCCCCAGTCACCCCCACACAGGGGAACCCCAGTGGAGTGGATGGATGTTCCTGCATGGGAACCCCCAGGGTAGCTTCAGGGAGGGGTCCTCTGAGGGGCCCAAGGAAAGGGAGGGCTTTCTTGTTGAGGGATTTGTGGGGGCAGGGTGAGAGGATGCTTACTTTAGGAGATACAGGGACTCAGGGCAGCTGTGGCTGGGCTGTGAGGGTGGTGGGCACGTTCATGGCTGGTTTGCAGACCACCTGGTGGGGCTGAAGGTCTAGGTGGAGAGTGATCAGTGATGAGGCAGGATGGGTGGCAGTGTGGGGCAGGGTGCTGATGACAAACACCAGGTCTGTGGGCAGAGGGACCTGCCTGCGGAGCTCGTGGGAGACAAGGGGGTGGGATGGTGACTCAGTTGGAGGCAGTGAGTGGTGGATGGTAGGAGGTTATGGACCCCGTTCTGGAACCATCCCTCACCCTGCCCTGGCTTCCCCAGTCCACACGCAGTGTGAGGAGGACAACGGCGGCTGCTCCCACCTGTGTCTGCTGTCCCCCCGGGAGCCCTTCTACACATGTGCCTGCCCCACTGGCGTGCAGCTCCAGGACAATGGCAAGACGTGTAAGGCAGGTAAGACAGCACAGGTGAGTCAGAGGTAGGCTTGCGAGAGAGGATGATGTCAGTGAGTCCATTGAGAACCTGCAGTGATGTCTTCAGTATGAAGGTCTTGGCTCCAGGTGTCCTTGGCACCAGCATGGGCTGAGTTCATGTTTACGTTGGGGCTCTGATGCCCAGTAGTGAATGATCTCTTGCTGACTTTCTTGAAGCGTCAGGTTCCCTGTCTCTAAAATACCTCCATGACAATGGGTCAAGCTGCAGAAGTATGAGCATGCTGCCTGGCACATGGCAATTGCTACATAAATTCATGCTGTTATTAATAATTAAACAAACCCAATTTTTGTTATAAAGAACAACGATAGCATTAGGGAACATTGTGAAACGAGATGTGACTCCACAAGCCCATGATGCCAGCATGTGTTCTCCCTTCCTGTGCTCTGCCTGGCTCTGTTCATCTTATCCTGATGCTCTCCAGGGACACTCACGTTCTAGCGTCAGACAGGAAGCAAGGATGCACAGATCGGTAACATCGTTACAAACACAAAGCAGGCAAGTCAGGATAAGAGTAATGAAGGTCAATCAAAGATTCTATAGAATAACCTGGATCAAAAGGGGGGAAATGTAGAGCAGAATTTCAGATTCTTATGGAATCCAGACTTTCTGGAGCCATGGAGGCTGGATGAATCCCTGAAGCTGTTGCCGTAAAAAAAATCTTTAAACCTTAAACCAAAAATACATTCTGAAATCATCTTTAAATGAAACAGTAGCTTAACTTAACTCGTAAACAATGTCTGCCTTGAGTGCTGGGCTCCGCATGGCATGACATGGACAGCAGCCACTTGAGAGGTTGGACTGGAAGCTTAAGGGGCAGTGTTAATGGGGGAGGGACAGCTCAAAAAGGAGGGAGAGAATGGCTGCATAACTCAAAGAATGCCATCAGAACTGGGGCCAGTCGGCCCTTGATTAAGCCAGGGAGTTGCATTCTCTCTGCAAATGTTGACTACGTCTGGGTGCAGAGCAACCATGGGGTTCCAAAACCTTCTTCAGCTCGTTGTCCACGGAGGCTGCCTGAGGTTGCAGGACCACCCTGTGTAACCCAGACTGGAGCTTCCCAGAGGAGGTGTGCCGGCGGCCCCGAGAGGCCCCTGTGTCTCCAGGTCCCCGGCCTCATTGGCTCAGTGGGGTGACTCAGCAGCCAACCCCTCCCTTCCGGCCGGACGTGTTCCCAGGCCAGAGCTGCTGGGCCGGAGGTGCTGACTGAAGGCCCGCAGAACCCAGGAGGTCCCAGGATTCCCCACCATCAGCCGTGTGCCTGGGGCCCTCTCCCTGGCCCTGGGAGAACTCTCTCTACTCCCCCAGCTGGGACAGACACTTTCACAAGTCACTGGTGGTGGAGAATGCCAAGCACGCAGAAGAAAAACGTTTTTGTTGTCATGGGAGAGACCAGGCTTGGGTGGGAGCGTGAGCTGGGCTGGGGCCGGGGCGGGGGCTGGGGACGCTTTCACCCCGAGCTTGCGTCTCGCTCACCCCCTGATGCCCTTTCTGGGGTGGAGTGTCAGAAGGAGCCAGGGCTCCCAGAAGAGACAAAGGGACAGGACAAGGAGGCTGGCTTTGCATGAGAATGTGTGAGCGTTTGGGTGTTTTTTTAAAATAAAAATAGTTCCCAAGCTTGGCCTCTTGGAGAGTCCCAGGAAACCAAACAAGCCAAGCTCGTTGCCATGGGGTTGACCGACTCCTAGCCCCCATGGGTGTCCTAGCAGAACTGGGCTCCCCGGAGTTTTCAGTGGCTGGTTTTCCAAAGCCTTTCCCTGAGGCGTCTCTGGGTGTCCTCGAACCTCCAGCCTTTCAGTGAGAGGCTAAGTGCATTTGCCGCTCACACCACTCAGACCCGGTCAGGCTGCCCTTACTGCCTGGGTCACGTCTGGTCACTGTGGGGACTGCTGGTGCCTTCTTTCTCCCCAGGCCCCAGACTGGGCTGCCAAGGGACCAACAGAGGTGTCTCAAAATTTCATGTTGTGTTGAGGAGAAATGTAGAAATTTCTTTGGAGCATTTCAAGGACTGGCCTCTAAGAGAACTTTCTGGAAATGTGAGGTGGTTCTGAAATCTCTCTGTTTCTCTCAATCCAGAGGATACGAGGATGTGTGAGAAATGGATTCTACCCCCGAACTTCTGGTCTCTTTGGGGACCAGACACACCCCACGTAACAGTAGCAGGCGAGTCAGAGATGGGGTGTGCCGTGAGTGAGGCCCAGTGGGCCACGGCTTCAGGTTTCACAGAAGGGGAGACGACGTCGCCATATTGGGGCTTTAGAATGCTCTTCTCCTGCTTTCAAATCGCCCCTCCTTTGCCACAAAATACGTGAAGGAAGGCTTTTCCCTCAAAGGCCCTCGCCCGTCACCTGTGTGGGTAGCTGGTGGTCCCCCAGGTGGTGAGCATCTGTTGGCTTGTGCCATTTTGCACCCCGCTGGACGTAGCTCATACGTGGGATGTGGCTTTTGACAGCTGCCGTGTGCAGGGGTATCAACTATGAAAACCTCCTGGAGACAGTGGCTGTTGATGGACGAGCAAACGGGCAAACAGAGTAACTCAGTCCAGTTGACAGGCACCAGCGACCTCGTGTGGGGGGGACTAGTGAGGTGGGGGACACTGGAGCTGCCCATGAGGGGGTGCCAGCGTGTGTGGGGCAGGTCTCCTTGACGGAACTCAGGTGGGTGGAGGAGGCCCTGGGGTCCCTGGGGGGTCTTGTCTTGGATGTCCCGGGAGCAGTGACGAATGTGGCCTCACTGCCAGGCTCAGGGAAAGCCGGCAGAGGAGGAGGAAGCTCTGTTGCTTTTTGCACTGAGGTTGGGAAGAGCGTCACACAACCCCAGTGTTGAGTTCCCCGCCCAAGTTTAAATTGGCTTTCTTGTTCCAGCCATCATTTATAAGGCCTTGCTGCACTCCTTGCTGTGTGATCTTAGGGAAATGACTTAGCCTCTCTGGGCTTGTCTCCTCATCTGGCATGAGATGACACCCACTCCTTATAGGGTTGTCGAAGGGGGCCTGAGGATGGTGGGGCCAGCCTACAGGCAGAGGAAAGGCCTGGCTGTTAGCAGGTACCAGCTGAGCTTGAATTTGAACTTGAAACTGGAGCCAGGCAGGCAATCCGATGTAATGCCAGGAGAGCAGTTCTCCCCTGAATGTTTGGAATCAGAAGTGGACGGAGAGGCCAGGTGCCGGGAGGAGATGGAGGGGTGGAGGGGCCAAGGGGAGCCTCTTCACAGGGCCGGTCAGGCAAGGGGGCGGGAAGGCGGTGGACAGTGAGGGCAGCTCCTGGACATTCCGGGGCGAAGGCTAGCATTGGGCTGGGAGTGGTCCTGGGCAGGGGGCCGGGCCTGGCTGTGTCAGAGTCACCAGACTCGATGGTACATTCAGATTCCTGGGCCCCAGATCCATCCAGCTGGAGCCCCCAGGTGAGAGGTCAGAGCCGGGGAGACAGCGGGCTGAGTATTCCCAGGCTCGTGGGGAGGCCGTGAGCAGCCAGGTTGGGGAACCACTAGAGCACCTGGAAATTTGTTAAGATTTGTAGTCAGAGCTTGGGTCCCAGTCACGGGTTCCAAGGGCTCTCCCTGTGGGCCTGAGACACCTGGACTTGCTGCAGTTGCATGTGAAGAGGTGAATCCTACTTTTTCCTGATTCGGACCAAGGACAGCCAGCTCTGTAGGGAGTGGGATGCCCCTGGAAGGGCTGGGGGGTGGGCAGCGATGCTGGAGTCCCCGTGAATGGGATGATCCCAGGGCTGCATGAGTGTTCCCCTAGAAGCCAGGGGCAGGTTCTCACGGTGCTGCACGTCACAGAGCAGGCTAGCCCCGTCACGCCTCTGAGCTGCACTTTCTCACGTAAAACGTGGCTGGGCCGGGTCCCTGGAGGCAAGACGGAGACCGCAGTTGGCTGCCAGCCTGAAGGTTGGGGGTTCGAGTTCAGCCAGAGATGTCTAGGAAGAGAGGCCTGACGATCTCGTAAAACATCAGCCACTGAAACCCTGTGGGGGTCATCCCAACGTGACACACCTGGGGTCTCCATGAGTCAGAGTCGGCTCTCTGGAATCTGGTGTGTGGAATAGGGGGCAAAGCCAAGCCAGGTGTGCTCCAGGCACGAGGTGGGGGCGCAGCAGGAGGCCAGGCTGCTGTTCGCTGGCACCTGGGAGGCAGATTAGGTGAGAGGCTGCGTGTTAAACGCTTTTCATGGTATTGCGTGGAGTGAACCCACAACAGATGCTAGACATGACCGTTCCTGCTTGCAGCTCTGTTACTGACCGAATTGTGTCCCTAAGACGTTACGTTGACCTCCTCACCCATGGACCTGTGAGCAGGACTGTGGGGAAATAGTCTTCTATCCTCAGTTACGTCGTATCAGAGCAGGGTGCCAGCTCCTTCTGGATGGCGTCTCACAGAAAGGAGAGAACAGACACGGGGGACACACAGGGAAAGACAGACACCTTGTGACAACAGGCAGACGCATCCATACGCTGCAAAAGACAGCAGGGATGGCTGTGAGCCATGAGAGGCTGGGCGAGAGGGAGACGTGGCGCTGCTCCTCTCAGAGCCCCCCAGGAATCCACAGGGCCGAACCCTGATTTGGACTCAGAACTGTGAGACTTAGAAGCCACTGCGCTGTGGTGGTGAGTTACGGCGGCCCCAGGATGCTAAGACTGGACCCCTTCCTTGTCCTTTGGGTTAAGGAGCATCCCAGGCCCAGAAGCCCGTGGATTCCATCCTGCAGTTTCCTCCCTCACCGAGGCCCTGTGGGTGGCAGTGGCATGGCTGGTTCCGGAGTGCAGTGTCCCCGTCCCTGGCCCCTTCCTGAGCGAGGATCCTGCAAGTTCCAAGAGGAAGGAGTGGTAAAAGCAAGCCACCCCCTTGTGTTGCGCTCTGCCCTGGGCGCGGTGAACTCGCGTGTGGCACATCGCTGTGACCGTGGTCCACGTGAGGCCGGCGTGCAGAGAGGGCCCTTCCTGCAGCAGCCGTGACCC